AAACTGACCAGCGGCTGATTCCAGGAAGCCCGGGGCAGAGCAGCTCTGCCTCGGGCTTCCTGTAGTCAGCCACTGGTCAGTTTCAACAGCGGCTGAATCTGGACGCCAGTTCCGACTTACATACAAATTCAACTTAAGAACAAACCTACAGTCCCTATCTTGTACGTAACCCGGGGATTGCCTGTTGTGCCACTGGGTATTATAATTTTTAAGCAATTGTACCATAAGCCCGGGGCAGAGCAGCTCTGCCTCGGGCTTCCTGTAGTCAGCCACTGGTCAGTTTCAACAGCGGCTGAATCTGGACGCCAGTTCCGACTTACATACAAATTCAACTTAAGAACAAACCTACAGTCCCTATCTTGTACGTAACCCGGGGATTGCCTGTTGTGCCACTGGGTATTATAATTTTTAAGCAATTGTACCATAATAAAAACATCATTAGCTTTTAAAGAAATAAGCTGGAGGGAGAAAGGCCCTTGAAGAAAAAATTTAATGCTTATGATATTTGCTGTATTGCTTGCAAAAAAAAAAATAATAAAATAAAAAAATAAAAGTATTCAAAACTCTGAAAGCTGTGTTTCCATTTTGGAAATTTAATATTTAATGGCTTCTGCTCTATGATAGACCCATTATTGACCGACTTACGCGTGGTCGTGGTGGCCCAGGTGGAAGAGGTGGACGTGGTGGTCGTGGACGTGGAATGGGCAGAGGAGACGGCTTTGACTCCCGTGGCAAGCGTGAATTTGACAGGCATAGTGGAAGTGATAGATCGTAAGTCTTAAATTTAACTCTTCCTATGTTTTTCACTAGTCTTTAATAAAATACACTTCTTTGTTTGCCTTTGATTTTCTGTATCCAAACACTATTATGTTAACTCAGTTTTGTTAGTTCTCTCTCACATTCACATTTCAGTGGCCTAAAGCATGAGGATAAACGTGGTGGCAGTGGATCACACAACTGGGGAACCGTCAAAGATGAGCTAACGTTAGTAATTCATAATTTCTTGAAATTGGTAACAAACAGATCCACCAATTTCCACTATTTATAATATATTAAACAAGTATTTGCTTCTATAGGATTTCTAGGTTGGGGGGGATGTTATATTTTTTGGTGGGGTAGAGGAGGGGTTAAATGGAAACAGCATTAGTTTAAATATGTTCTTAATCAGTTTTGAAACCTTATTTACATGGGACAAGCAAAAACTTACCTGATAGCTTGCTGGTAACATTTGAGGTTTAAACTTTTGGTTCTAAATTTATGTTGATGTATTTTTGTTCCGCTTTTTAAAAAGCAGCGATTGTCAATTTGTACCAGTTTTTACATGGACACTTTCTCAACTGCTTCATTATCTTTCTAGTCCTCAGTTTTATATTTGAGACTTAACATATTGGAGATTGGTATTAAGAGTAATACAAATCTTAGGAAAGCTTCCCAGAAAATTGTGGTGGTTGGCCTTCTTAAATCTGTAAAGATTTTTTTTTCATGAAATAGTGAGAAAAGTTCAATCTTGTGACTTCTGTGTGAATTAGAGATTCAGTGCTAGTGTGGAAAAAAACCAAACAAAACCAAAACCCTCCTAATTGCAGTGAATTGGATCAATCAAATGTGACCGAGGAAACGCCAGAAGGAGAGGAACACCCGCCTGCTGATTCTGAGAATAAGTGAGTACTATTCTTTCTTCAATTGCTTAACATGCTATTTTTGAATTATTTTATTCAATTTCTAGGGTTCTTTGGCTGTGGTGCCATTGGCATGAGCTGTTTCCCATGGGACCATTGTCATTTCTTCCACAGATAATGAAATTGGCTACAGTACAGTACTGTTGAAGCACTGAGGAGAAATGGAGCATGTTCTAAACCAGTAGTTCCCAAACTTTTCAGCATCACGCCCCCTTGACTTTTTGAAAAACCTTCAATCCGCCCCCCCCCCCACCCCCC